TGAGAAACTGCCAAACTATTTTCCAAAGTAGCCAGGGCATTTTACATTTCTGTTGTAGTGTCTGAGGGCTCCAGTTTCTCCACATCTTCATTGACATTTGTTATTATCTTTTTAATTATAGCAATCCTGGCGAATGTGAAGGAGTATTTCACTGTGGTTTTACTTTGTATCTCCCAAATGACTAATGAAGTTGAGCATCTTTTCATATGTTTACTATAAATTCATATATAGTTAGGCAGTGCATAAAGATATGTACTTTGGTCATATCATATGTACAGCTATGGTCTCATAAGATTATAATGGAGCTGAAAAATTCTTATCACTTAGTTATGTCTTGACGATGTAACTATGTGATAATTAATAATAAATTTTGATAATAAAAATAATTTTTTATTATTTGAGATAAAAATGTTTTTGATATGTCATCAATAACTATGTCTTGATGACATAACTAAGTGATAATTAATGATAATTTTTGATAATAAAAATAATTTTTTTCATTTTGAGATTAAAAATGTTTTTGATAATTTTTGATAATAAAAATTTTTTTTAATTTTATTTTTTTATTTTGTGATAATAAAAAAATAATTTAAAAAAAATTTTGAGACAGGCTCTTGTTCTTTTACCCAGGCTAGCCTGCAGTGTGCAATAATAGGTTGGTCTAGTCTTGTATTCCTGTCTCAAGAGATCCTTCTTTCTCAACTACCCAAGCACCTGGTACTATAGGCATGTGCTATCAAACTTGTCTAATTTTTAAAAATATTTTTAGAGTTGGGGGTCTCACTATGTTGCCCAGGCTGATTCCTAACTTCAAGTAATCCTCCTGCCTCAGCCTCTAGAATTGCTGGCATTACAGACATGAGCCACTGGACTTGCCCCTCCCCTAAAATTAAATATTAAAAAGCTTAGCAATAAGATATAATGAAAAGTATTTTTGTATAGATTATAGGGTGTTGCTATTTTAAGCTAAGTGTTAATAACAGATGAGTCAAAAAGTTGTGCTGTGGCTTACACCTGTAATCCCAGCCACTCAGGAGGCTGAGGCAAAAAGACTTCTTGAGGCCAGGAGTATGATACAGTGAGACCCCATCTCTCATTAAAAAAAAATAAATCAGCCACATCACTTGAACCCACTTTGAGGATGCATTGAGCTGTGATCTGTTGCTGTACTCCAGCATAGGCAACAGAGCAAGGAGACTCCATCTCTTAAAAAAAAAAGTTTAAAAAGTTCAAAAGTTTATAAAGTAAAAATGTTACAGTAAACTAAGGAAGCTAAAGCTAATTTATTATTGAAGAAAGGAAAACTTGTGTTGATAAACTTAATGTAGCCTACTTGCTCAAAAAGTCTACAGCAGTGTATATTAATGTCTTAGCCCTTCACATTCACTCACTTCTCACTCACTGATTCACCCAGAGCAACTCCCAGTCCTATAAGCTCCATGCATGATAGGTGCCCTATGCAAGTTTACCATTTTTTAATCTTTTATGCAATATTTTCACTATACTTTTGCTATGTTTAGATATGTTTTGATGCATAAAGACTTAACATTGTGTTACAGTTGCCAACAGTACTCAGTAAGGTAACCTACTGCAAAGGTTTGAGTACTCAGTAAGGTAACGTACTGCAAAGGTTTGTAGCCTATGAGCAGTACACCATAGCTTGTAGTTTAGGTGTGCACGATCTATGTTTGTGTTTAAGTACACTGTGTGGTCTGTTCACACAATGATGAAATCCCTACTGACATGTTATTAAGTGAAACATGACTGTATTTTCTTTGGAAAAATGTCTATTCAGATATTCTTTTTCCTTTTTTAGATTTCTTTGGCCTTTTTATTATTAATATGTAAGAGTTCTTTTATATATTCTGCATGCAAAATGGAATAGCATTGATGTCTGTTTTGTTTCTGGTCTTAGAGGGAAAGCATTCAGTTTTTACCATTAAGTATAACATTAGCTATGGGATTTTCATAGATGCCCTCTATCTGTTGAGTACTTTTATCATGGAAGTGTTGGATTTTGCAACTGTGCTTTCTATGTCTATGTGTTTCTTCCCCTATTATGTTGTATATTCATGATTTGATCATGTGTTGAGATGATCATGTATTTCTTCCCCTGTTATCAATTTACTATTAATGTTGTATATTCATTGATTGTTTTTCACAAATAGAACTTTCTTACATTACTGAAATAAATCTTAACTTGGCTGTGGTGTATAAGCCTAGATCCAGTTAGGTAATATCTTTTGAGGATATTTGTGTCTATATTCATCAGGGGTATTAGTCAGTGGTTTTCTTGTGATGTCTTTGTCTGATTTGCTATCAGTGTAATATTGGCCTCATAGAATGAATTAGGAAGTCTTCCTTCCTCTTCTTTTTTTTGGGTGAGAGCAGGAGGAAGAATTATGAATGAGTGTTTAGTCTTTTAATGTTTATTAGAATTCACTTGGTAAGCCATCTGGGCTTGCACATTGTGGGAAATTTTTCATTACTAATTCAAGGTCTTTACTTAGAGGTTTACCTCAGATTTTTCCATTTTTTTAAGGCAATTTTGGTACTTTGTCTTTCTAGGAATCTATTTTGTTTAGTTTATCCAGTTTGTTGTCATACATTTGTTCAGTGTATTCTCTTATAATTCTTTTCTTTCCTGTTGAATGAAGGTTGGTGGTAAAATGAGTTAGAAGGGGATATTACTACGCAATTTGACTTGCCTTTCCTCTTAGTAAAGGTTTGTCAATTTTACTGATTTTTTTCAGAGCACCAACTTTTGATTTTGTTGATAGCTTCTGTTGTGTTTTTATTCTCTATTTCATTAATTTCTGCTCTAATTTATTATTCCTATCCTTCTGCTTGCTTTGATTTTAGTTTGCTTACTTTTTCTTCTATCTTAAGTTGTTCTGAGCTGTTTGTTTTTTAAACATAGATGTTTATAGCTATATGTTTTCTCTAAACACTGCTTTACAGTACCCTGAACCCCATAAATGCGTCAGTGTACAAAGTTACAATTTAATAAAAAATAATTAAATGGGTGGCACCTGTGGCTCAAAGGAGTGGGTTGCCATCCTCATATACTGGAGGTGGTGGGTTCAAAGCCCAGCCCTGGCCCAAAACTGCAAAAAAAAAAAAAAAAAAAAAAAAAAAAAAATTAATGCTTAGTTGCATTCCATAAGATTTTGTGTGTTGTGTTTTCTTTTTCATTGACCTATGTTGTAAGTTTCCTTTAATCCATCAGTTATTCAGGAGTGTCTTGCTTAATTTCTATATATTTGTGAATTTTTCAAAAACTTTTTTGTTATTTATTTCTGTTCCGGTAATTCCACTGCAGTCATAGTTGGTATGATTTCAGTTCTTTTAAACCTAACTGAGGCTTGTTTTATGGGCTAGCACAGGTCTAATCTGGAGAGTGTTCCATGTGTACTCGAGAATAATTTATATTTTGCTGTTGAGTAGAGTGTTCTATTGGTGTCTGTTAGATACAGCTGGTTTGTCGTGTCGTTCAGGTCTTCTATTTCCTTGTTGCATGTCATGTTTTTAATAGCTGTTGTTTGAAGTTGTTTAAGATTTGTCCTTATATAAATAGAAATTAACAAATTTAGTGAGTGTTTGTTATATGTCAGGAACTTAGTTGCTGGAGTTTTTTCAGTGAACAAAACAGAGAAAATCCTTTCCTCATGGAGTTTGCATTCTAGTGGCAAGTATAGATATACAGAAACAAATGTGGATCATCCCCAACATTACATCCTTTTTTTTTTTTTTTTTTTTTTTTTTAGAGACAGAGTCTTACTTTATCACCCTTGGTAGAGTGCCGGGGCTTTACAGCTCACAGCAACCTCCAACTCCTGGACTTAAGTGATTCTCTTGCCTTATATCCTGATTTTTCAACTTTACTATGGTACAAAAACAGAACATATGTAGGAGAAACTGTGTTTTGAATACCTATACAGCCATTCTGCTTTTCACTTTCAGTACAATATTCAGTAAATTACATGAAATAGTCAACACTTTATTATAAAATAGGCTTTGTGTTAGATGACACAACTATAGGCTAAGATAAATGTTTTAAGCATGTTGGAGTTAAATGTATTTTCTACCTAAGATATTTTCAATTTGTGATTAGTTTATCAAGATGTAACTTATCATAAATTGAAGAGCATCCATATATAAAATATAATCTGGAAGTTGTTGTGGAGAAAAAAAATAGGGAATAGGAAAGAGAAAAGAGAATGTGCGTATAAAGATGTGCTATTCCCCAAATGTGCCATATGGGGAATAGCATTCTAGGCAGAGAGACCAGCAAGTGCCCAGGCTGTGAGGTGAGGTTATGTAGGATCTCTTTGAAGACTTGTTAAATACATGTCACATAATGAGTCCATGAATTGCTTTGTCCTTTTGAGAATGTAGATACTAGTTTGAAAATTATCTAAGTACAAACTCATAGTTATTCCACTTTTCCTCTCATGTAACCACACCTCTTAGCCCTTCACATTTTATGTTTGCTCACTGGGTATTTCCTATCTTCCTTCTTAGAGTGAAAGCTTCATGAGGACAGTGATTTTATCTGCTTTATGTACTGCTTATTAGTGCCTAATGTATAGTAGACAATCACTTTTTTTGGTTCATGATGAATAAATGAATTGTCAAATGTGACTTTTTAGTAGTTATGAACTTAATGCTTACAAATCCGTACTTTAAGAAGAGTTTTGTTTTATCACTCTATATGTAAATACATATATACACACACCTTCATTTTAAATTATAAAATGTAAGTAGTTTAATTTTTTTAAGAGGGAGGAAAATTGGCTCTTTTTTGACTTTAGAAACTGATGTTCTCATAATAGGCATTTTCCCTATATGCTTGTAGTTGTATGTTGGATTAAAATTTTAAATTTAATTTACTTTGGGATTTTTGCATTTTGGGTTTTATGAATTCTCTGAATTCTTAATCTATATTGCATGATACTTTGTATCTCATTTCTAATGTGATTATATCTGCTGTTTTCCAGGTTGTGTGATAGCTGAGCTTTTTACAGAAGGTGTACCATTATTTGATCTCTCTCAACTTCTGGCTTATAGAAATGGACATTTTTTCCCTGAACAAGTGCTAAATAAAATTGAAGATCGCAGCATCAGAGAACTGGTAACTGTGTTACAAGTATTAGCCATAAAGTTTTAAATAGGATTATGTTTCCACTTTTGTATTAGTCAGCTTTTTGGAACGTTCAAATTTGAAACAAAGTAGTAAAGCACCATGAACTAATACAAACAGCCTATTGTTACTTTCTTAGAAGAAAGGTACTACAGTAGAATCTCCATAATTGACCACCTCCCTACATTGACTACTATGTGTGTTGACCAGTTTGTTAGAGTCCCTTGGGTGGTAAACTTGCAGAGGCTCTTCTGTGTTTTTTTCTCCTGAGTCACAGAATTTAAAAAAAAAAAAAATCTGTTTTTGCATTAAAATCTTCATCTGTACATTGGACAGATTTGGAAGGTGGTACGGAAGTGTCTGGGTATTGGAGAGTTTGTCCTGAATGAAGCTTACTGGTAAGAAATGAAGGAGATGGACATCTAAAATGAAGGAGACAGGAAACATCAACTTGAATTTAATACAGCAATATAGGGCCATTTCATACAGAAGCATTGGCTTTGTATACCTATAGAATCACATGTTAGTGTAGCACAAGAGGTGTGAGGAATTCTGTGCGTCAAATTTACCTAAGACATATATCTACATTACTGTTTGAGGGCATCTTTGTAAGTCAGTCATATGGTAACTAATGCTTGTGATGATGACTCTGACCCATAGAAAAGATTATGGTATATTGAGAATATTAGAATATTCTTTACTAAGGTAGGGACATATATAATACATTTTAATTTCTCTAAAAAAATGGAAAATATTAAGGAATGAGATGCTTCAGAGGAAGCCAGTTTAGCTGAGGTCCAGCGAACAGTGGCCTAGATTAAGAATTGGCAAACCTGATGTTATTTTGGTTAAGTAACTTCATGTTTTTGAGCTTGTCTTTTCTTAACTATGAAAGGACTGAATTTGCTTAATCTTTAAGTCTTAATCCAAATCTAAAAGTAATTCTATTAGTTTACCTATACCTTTCTTTGTAGTGCATTTGATTCCTTCAAGTTTAATGCCAGATTCTTTTGTAAAATATAGACAGAAATGTCAAACCACTATATACATTTTTATGACATTTTATATATTTAAATAATGACTGATAATACTGTGTGTACCCAGGAAAGACTGAACTATGTTTTATATTCTAAAAAAACTTATTCTCCTAGGATACTATGTACAGGATAAATTCAAATTAGGTTTATAGTTTGTATTGTTTGCGGAATTTAATGCCTCTTTTGCATTACTTTAAAAACTTAAGCCACTGATGTCCCTTTTGACCAGATGTTAAAGTTATACCTAAATCATGTATGCCTTTGGACTTGTGGCAGTCAAGTAATCTAAACCATAGCTCTTAACCTGGGATATGTAAATGGATTTCAGGAGTTTTTTGATTCCTTCTAGAATTGTGAGTAATTTTGTATGCAGAATTTATTTGTATACATTTTCCTTTGGAGGCGACAATCCATTTCTTTCCTCAAATTTTCAGTGGTATCTTTGGCTCAGAAAAATTTGTGAGAATTCTTGAGTTGTGGGGCCCAATATATTGTATTATTTCCTTGTCTTAAATAAATGAGGATTACTGAATCAGAGTGTAACCTCCTCTTTATGTGTTAGGGCCATCTGTAATACATTTGTATGTAATTTCTTATTGTGTTCTAGGATGATAGAGTCGCATGTCATTTAGTAGTCAGGTTCTAAAGGTAGTTTGTCAGGTGAACGTTGAGAATCTAGTTAGAATTATCTTGAAAAATCCTTTAAATCATGTGTAGATTGCCCTTGTAGCTTTTATCTGGTTTAGTTTTCTGTTATCAAATTTATTTTTATTCCCTTTCTTTCCTTGCTATAGGTAACTCAGATGATTAACCGTGAGCCAGATAAACGCTTAGAGGCAGAAGATTACTTAAAGCAGCAGCGTGGCAATGCCTTTCCTGAAATATTTTATACTTTTCTTCAGCCCTACATGGCCCAGTTTGCCAAGGAGACATTTCTCTCTGCAGATGAGCGTATTCTGGTTATCCGGAAGGATTTGGGCAACATTATTCACAATCTCTGTGGACATGATCTGCCAGAAAAAGCAGAAGGAGAACCTAAGGAGAATGGGCTGGTTATCTTGGTGTCTGTTATAACATCCTGCCTACAGACCCTCAAATACTGTGATTCCAAGCTTGCTGCCTTGGAACTTATTCTCCATTTGGCCCCAAGATTAAGTGTAGAAATCCTTTTGGACCGTATTACTCCATATCTTTTGCATTTCAGCAATGACTCTGTTCCTAGAGTGAGGGCTGAAGCCTTGAGGACGTTGACCAAAATCCTTGCTCTTGTCAAAGAGGTTCCTCGCAATGATATCAATATTTATCCAGAATATATTCTGCCAGGCATAGCCCACTTAGCCCAAGATGATGCTACTATTGTTAGACTAGCCTATGCTGGTAAGAATCCAAATAATAGCCTTTTAGATATTTTTTAAGTTAGTAACTATAATACCTTTTATTTTTCTGATTTCTTTGGGAATTCCAAGTGTGAACTTTGCTCCTTGAACTATTTGTGTAGATTAGCTATAATATTTATAGCTAATCTGCTCCTGGGAATTAACTTTTGTGTGTTCTCTCATTTTTTTAAATTATCAGAATTGTCAAGTGAAAATAAGCATATAATACAGAATTTTGTGTTTTTATTCGGACTACTACATTTAAATTGGAATAAGACTAATGTTTACACGCATGTACTTATGAACTAGTGTCTTTAGGCCTTTAAAAGTTTCTCTGAACAAATATACTTTTTTGTCAATTTTAGGATACTACAGTTTTGTTTCGTTTTTTTTTTTTGAGACGGAGCCTCAAGCTATCCCCCTGGGTAGAGTGCCATGGCATCACGCTCACAGCAACCTCCAACTCCTGGGCTCAAGTGAGTCTCCTGGCTCAGCCTCCCAAGTAGCTGGGACTACAGGCGCCAGCCACAACGCCTGGCCATTTTTTGGTTGCAGTCATCATTGTAGTTTGGACGGTCCGCTGGGGATTCAAACCCATCATCTTAGGTGTATGTGGCTGGCGCCTTAGCCGCTTGAGCCACAGGCACCGAGCCAGGATACTACAGTTTTATTGCCGATGAAAAGATTAATTTTGCTGGGTAATTTGGTGTTGAAAGAACTCAGCATTTTTTTTATTTTGTGAGAAAGTCTCACTCTGTTGCCTGGACTAGAGTGCCATGGCATCCTAGCTCATAGCAACCTCAAACTCTTGGGTTCACGTAATCCTCCTGCTTCAGTCTACTGAGGAGCTGGGACTACAGGCACTCACCATGACACCTGGCTAATTTTATCTATTTTTGGTAGAGATTGGGTCTCTTTCTTGCTCAGGCTGGTCTTAAACTCATGAGCCCAACCAATACTCCCACCTCAGCCTCTCAAATGGTAGCATCGTGGGCATGAGCTACTGTATCCAGCCAGAACCTGGAATATTAATTTACTGAATTTTAAAATCCTTTTTCCACTTACTATACTGGTTAGAACATGTAGCTTTTTTGTGATGGAGGTAGGTGTGTTACACATACCTACTTGTTTTGCTTGTAATTTTCACTCAGAAAATTAAGTGATGCATATTTATGTTTTTAGTTCCTCAAGTTCTGAAAGCTTATTTTTGCTTGGAAAGTATCACTGGAACATTTACATAATTTCATAATTTATTTCCATGATGTAATCAGATGGAAATCAAGGACTCTGTTTTGAAGTCTTTGTAAATAGGACATCATAAATGTGTCGTGATGATATTGTCACTTTTTGGAAAAAAACTTGCTTAGTTTATTCATTTTATCATTTACCTGTCATTATTTTAATGGAATGTGAAAAATGGTCTTTGAACTGTGGTCTTACCTCTAGGCATGTCCAACAAGTGAATGGTGTTTATAAGTTTATTTTTTCTATACACATATTTTTTATTTATGCTTCTCTTTCTGCCTATTTATTTTTTTATGGTTTCTGGTTTCTATTACTACATATACATAAACTTCAGGCCTAGACATCCAGGATTTCTGTAAGGTACATCAGAGTTTGTATTTATAATATAACATATTTATAATTCACTTGACAAATATAAATAATTGAACCAGATAAAATCAAGTGAAATGGAGGTTTATAGATTTTAAAAACAAGCTGTATCTTTCTTTACCAGAATTTTATGACCCTAGTGTTTGGTCCGGTGTATCTTGATCTGTTCTGAATTGTGTTAAAAAGGTATGGTTTTGATGTGTTTGTGCCATAGTAACATACTGACATCCAGTTACTAGAGTAGTATCTGTAGCATAAACATAATAGCTGCTATTTATTAGCTGTGTGTCAGGGCATTTACTGCTCTGGGTTATTGTTAGGGTTGGTTAGTAAGATCTTACAGCTAACCCTTGTAACAACCTTGAACAATAAATGCCATATTATTTTCATTTTCTGGGTAAAGAAATTTGGATTAAGAGAGACTAAATAGCATGACCCAGTTTTATCTGGCCTAGTTCTCAGTTCTCAGAGCTCCTGGTCTAGACCTTGGTTTTGAAGCAATCCTGCTTTTCTTTGGCCTCACTGGGTCTTTATGGTCAGAGTCCACAATAACTCAGGCTCAGTGCCAGCACCTTGCAGTGTTGCTTCTTCATGGCCCAGTACATGAAAAAGCAGCCTTTTAAAAAATAGAGCAAGAAGTCTTTTTGACTTCATATGGCTAATATAATTAAAACACATGTCAGTGATTATAAAAGTTTAAAGCTAACTTTTTTCCCCCTTCCTTTTTACAGTAATTCTTTTTTATTTCAGAGATGCTTGTATAGTTTCGTATCCTGTGTAAAAGCAAACTTTCAAGTGTGCTGTGGTTTATGGGCTTGAATGGGGGAATAAGTGTAGATTTACTGAGACTTTATAGGTGTCAGGCAAGCAAGAGACTTTTTCTTATAAAGATATACTCTTTAAAGTGGGGATAGTCTTCTAGAATTTTGGCTTCTTATCAAGAGATGGCTTTTAAAGACAGAAAAATTCTGTCTTTAAAAGAATGAGCAGGGATTATAGGATAGTAATATTTTGTTTATGTAGAGGTAAAATTTTATTCTTTTGAGTGCAGTGTAAAGCATGGCAGTGATGGGGAGGAGGACCTCAAGATGAGGACGATCACTGTGTTTGATAGACTCAGAGATCTCACTTACTATAAAGTGTATTTTCTTTCTTTCTTTTTTCTTTTCCTCCCTCCCTCCCTCCCTCCCTCCCTTTGTCATCCTTGGTAGAGTGCTGTGGTACCGTAGCTCACAGCAACCTCAAACTCTTGGGCTAAAGTGATCTTTTTTGCCTCAGCCTCCTGAGTAGCCGGGACTATAGGCACCTGCTACAATGCCTGGCTATTTTTTCTGCTTTTAGTAGAGACTGAGTTTTGCTCTTGCTCAGTTTGCTCAGTTTGGTTTCGAATTCCTAAGCTCAAGTGATCCTCCTACTTCAGCCTCCCAGAGTGCTAGGATTGCAGATATGAGCCGCCATGCCCAGTCTGTAAGATGCATTTTGATTTCAGAGATGTTAAAAGGCAAGGGAAAAGTGAGTCTTATTTTAAGTGTTAAGTTTAAGGTAGTGGAGTTTTATATTCACTGCTGTTCATTGCTAAGAAGGAAAAGAGTATATAGTCTTTGGTTTAATGTCATATGTTAAGCCTGGAAGTGGGAGGCAAGGAAGGATATAGATACAAAAGTAAATGAAAATGGAATGAAAAAGAAAGTATAAGCAAAATGTAGACATAATTGATAATAAATGACAGCAGAAATATTAGACGTAGGTATTCTGCAGTGGTGTGGAGTTTCAGACAGTCTTAGTATCAGAAGGAGAAAGAGTAAGGTTGAGCAAGTACAGAAGTGTGGCAAACAGTCTGATGCTTTGGTCCACTAGGAACTTCAGAGTATCACTTGTAAAGCAATCAACAGTGGTTTCTTTTTGAGGTAGCTGTGACTCATGGGTGAAGAAACCGAGACTCAGATTGTTTAGACAGCCAGCTAATAACTGGTAAGGTCAAGATTTGAGTTCAGTTCTGTGTGATTTCAAAGCCCAGCCTGATCTGTTATTTTAGTGTGAATGTTTCTGTGTCAGTCTAATAAATCTGTTATTTGTCAAGATACTGTTTAAAGACTAAGTCTGTGCAGAAGAATTAAGCTAGTTTTTCCTCAGTATATTTGGGTGGTATATTTTGGGTTATATTTGTATTTTTTTAAAAAAGCTTATAAGAGGGGCCCTTATCTAACAAATGCAATCAGTGTAACCTGGTTCTGTGTACCCTCAATAAATCTCCAACAATAAAAAAAAGAAAGCAGCAGTTGGGAAAAAATAGTTGTAGATTATGAGATTAACTACTAAAATCTGATTAGGTTAAGTAATAAAAAGAAAAGTCCTGCTTTCTTCCTTGGTTTTGTGACTGTTACATGTATAAAAACTTGAGGAAAAGTTATAAACAACACAAAAGTTTAAGATTATAATTTTCTCCCTTTTTATCTTATAGAAAATATAGCTTTGTTGGCAGAAACAGCTCTGAGATTCCTGGAATTAGTACAGCTAAAAAATCTCAATATGGAAAATGACCCCAATAGTGAAGAAATAGATGAAGTCACGCATCCAAATGGAAATTATGACACAGGTTGTAAAATTTTCTCTTCCAGAATTCCTATTATTTGGAATGATTGCTAGTGCTAACTTTTAAAAACTATCATTTATCATTTTCATGTAAGAGGCAGGAATACCAGATTTATAGTAGATAGGAAGGATCCCTGGTGTCTGATTGCTGTATTGTCATACACAGTTATCTAGTTGGAAAATGATCAGCTTGTCGCCACAGTTATTAAACTTCATTGTTTTTCAGCCAAAATTGATTTGTGAGAACAGTAAAGCTAGCTAAAATATGTAATTCTCAAAAAGAAAAAAACTTTAGAAACATCACAGCTGAGGAATCTAAACTTTTCTCATGCGAGTATATTCTGAGTATCTAAATCATGAAGTGTTTTTATTTCGTACTATCTGTACCTTACATATCAACTCCCTCCCCCTTTAATCATAAAGGAACAGATGTGATGGTAAACACAGTGGGGTCAAACTCCTCCTTGTCTTAGGTTTGTTAGTATCCGTACAGCTCTTTGCAGGCTTTTGGTAAATGTTTGGAGAGTGAAAAGTTCAGAAGTAAAATCATACTCACTATAGTCTCAGATGTTTCTTAATTGGTAAAAACTAGAGAAGTCAAGTTTTTAGATTTTTATGCTGTAAATAGCTATGATGGCTGTTACTTCTTTGAATGGCACCATTTTTAGGCAGTGTACAGTGGAATAGTTTTGAACTTATAGGAGGATATATCAGGAAGGAAATCCTAGCTTGCTTTTTCATAGAATTACTTGGAAAATAATACTGTTCTACATTCTATAACCATGTAATTGGAGCTTTTTAGGTAAAGAAATTAAATGTTGGAACTTCTTGGGAGTTAAAATTAACTTAAAGTTTTTCTTAAAGAGAGTACATAATTTTACACATTGGACCAGTTGCTTTTTCCCTTGATAGAAAGGACTGTCTAAACAGTAGCCTCTGTCCTCATTTACTTAGTCAGTAAATAATTGTTAAACATTAGCCCTGCCTCAGACAGTTATGAGTCTGCTCTTAGCCTAGCACTAGGGATATGGTAGTGAATAAGACAGGAAAATCCATGCTTTTGACTTTACTTATTTTGTAAGAGAAAGACAGACAAGTAAATAAAGTAAATAAATACATATAAGGGGAGGGCGAGGAGGAGATATGGTCAGAGAAGAAGCCAGTCGCTAAATAACTCATAAATGGAGCTGCTTAATTAGTGAGAGAGTAACCGTGCAGTGGCCTCTGCTTGTTAGGCTCTTCTTCAGTTTGTATCTCATGTTCCCATCTTGCACAGCTGTGAGGAGTGGAAAAGCTGAGTGATTAAGACCTGTCTTGGTGGCTTCTGTAATCATTCTGTTCCTCTGATGAGTATGAAAAAAGACTAGGACTGTATGTATGGGGGAAAAGGTTGATCCTGTCCTTATGTTTTTCTCTTTTTAGAGCTCCAAGCCTTACATGAAATGGTCCAGCAGAAAGTTGTTACTTTGCTAAGTGACCCTGAAAATATCGTAAAACAAACGTTAATGGAAAATGGAATAACACGACTATGTGTATTCTTTGGAAGACAGAAAGCCAACGATGTTTTGTTGTCCCACATGATCACTTTCCTAAACGATAAGAATGATTGGCATCTCCGTGGAGCTTTTTTTGATAGTATAGTTGGTATGTTTTTTGTTTGTGTTCAAGTTTATCTTTAAGATTAGTTGGTATGTTTTAGTTTGTGTTCAAATTCATCCTCTCAAATATTTCTGTGTCATCTGAAGGATAGGTGATGATAATACTAAGCTTCATTAATAATTAAATGAGTTATTTCTGTTTTCATGTGCTTTTGGATGATGGAAGTATTTTAGCTGATCCCTTGGTTCATCTGTGATATGTCCATGTGAAAAAATACCATATAGTCATTAAAAACTATATTTTAAAAGAATAACGATCTGGGAAGGTATCATGAAATGTTGTTAAAGTGGCTGAAGTAGGTAGCTGTGTAAAGGTAAGAGTGATAGAAATTATGTTTACAAAGATGTTTATAAAACAAAAGTAAACAAACATCCCTTTTAGATTCAGAAAATAATAGTTAAAATATAATTATGGCTGAAAAATCAATCTGCTTGGCAAGAAATGAAAACTAGTTGCCAGAGTTTTTCCACTGATTGCGCCCCATTCTGGAGGGAGAGGGATTCGAGGGTTCACTTCTGTGGTTCATCTTGCAAGGGTACAAGTGAATCTTTCTATGAGTAGAATATGAATGTTTTGACATAATAAC